CGCCTCTTAATTAATAAAGTACACTCACCTCAACAACGGCTACGCGAATCTTCTAATTTTTAGCCGATCGACCCTTACGGTATCACATACGAAAAAGCTTTGAACCTCCAAAAAAAATTACTTAAGTATATTTTTTTTGAAAAGGTAGAAGATTATTACTACTTAAATTCTAGCACAAAATATGTGCAATTATTATTGGTGTAATGTGCATCAATACGGTATTGCTGAATTAAGAAACAATAACATTTCGGATCTTTATTTGCATGCTCCGAGATCGATGTGATAATAAAATAATCATCACATAATCTGCACAGCTCAAGTGATGTCGTGTAAGTTTACAAATATGTAATTATTATAATTAATTATTTGCTATTTAAGTCTTTTGATTTATATTTCAAAATAAAAAACAAAATAATTAATATTTATAAAATTAATAAGTTTAACATACAATATTGTCACAGGTAGTTGCACATGAATCCCATGTTATAATCAAGAGATAAAAGATTTAGATGAGTTAACTAGTAATAATTATGTAAAATTTAAGTGTCTTATTAATTAAGAGGCGTTTATATTTGACCCGAGTGTTTAACCTTAAATCTGTTCTTTTTATACATTCTTTTGACTACATTGGCTAGTGAGGCCATGACACTAAATAATAGAAGAAGAATAACATAATACCTTTTCATAATCCCTTCCTTTCCTTGCAGTTATATAATAGTCGCGGCGCACAGTCACGTGATAAGCGTCTCGTCTTATATATTGTATATATGTATAGTACATCATCCAAAGAATTCTTTTGATATTATGACATTTTCCGTTTCCTATATTAATGTGAGAAGAAGACCATCTGACAAAAATCTGTTGACGTATCTTTACTAGTGTTGCATCGGTGATACGTACTGTCTTTTAAAAAGTCGGCTTTATATTTGACTAACCAATCAATGTTAGTAATGCGGGCATCTATTTGATAATTTGGATCTATATCCATACAGTTAATGGGCATGCACTCTAGACCGAAGCGTTTGACTTAGAGCAATCAACTGTATATTGTGTTTCTGTTTACTTCCATTTTAAATTCATTCCTCTATAGGTAGGATTCATTATGAGTACCTTGCTTATTTCTACATATTTCTTTCTATCAATTATTCTCGTTACCATAACTGGATTATTATCTTTGAAGAAAACAAACACTGAATAAGATTCTTGGTCCCTTTTTTAGATAGTACTTATACAATGCAAGACTTAGTGTCGCAAATATAGGGTCCTAAAATCCCCGTTCGCCTTCAAAGATATTAGTTATAACTCTGCATAAGTCAATTTAACTCTAAATCCGTACTGATCTTCCGTTAACATTGCAATCTTGTGAAAAATACCTTTAAAAATATATCACAGGTGCAAAAACTCGAAATTAAGTTAGGTTGCATGAAAATGAGACTTTTGGTCAACAACAATGTTATATTTTTGTCACTTAACATCGTTTTGTTTACAATATTGGTAAATAAGTAGCAAGTGTGTAACGCTCAAGGGGGGTAGCATAGCAGTAGGAGTGAGACGCATTTGGGTTTGGTTGACAAGCCACATATGGGAGGATAAATAGAAGATAGGATACCCTAATTGGAAAGGAGGAGAGAAAAAACTCTAGCTATATATTGTAAGTGTCAAAATAAAAAGAGTAATATTCGTGTACCTCTATCAGGTGCCACTATAATGTAGCAAGAAGGGCACCATGAAAAGACAATGCGAGTATAGAAGATCGTACGCGCCGCGTAACGAACGACGATACTGTAATATGTCACGTGACCAATCTACGCTGGATAGCGCGAGATCTGATCCTGGCTCGACCAGTATATATAATGACTGCTAGCGACGATAATGACATTGTAGAGATTATTATGTAATCGTTATAATCATACTTAATCTTATCATTCTATATTTAGTATGTTTAATTTATTTTATGTAATTATTGAGAAATGTATAAACGAGTCAAATTAATAGAGCGGCACGGATGAGAAGTGAGAAGTATTCGGTCAAATCGACGCATCAAATAACCTATTCGTTTGCCTTTAATCACCAGTAACAGTTACGCGAATCTATATTGTCGTGGGCAAAAAGCGGGCACAGTCACGTAATTAGTATGTTATGTAAACAATAGGCGCATGAATAAATACATGCGCAGTTCGATAGCATGTAAAGTTTAGTTGAAGAGATTAGAGATTAGCATTTAGTAAACAATAAAGCAACGTTTAAAGAAAAACTCTTACCTTGTGCTTAGTGTGCCAAAGTAGACTTGCAACTTGGGCTACGCGACTACAAGAAAGAACCGAATTTTCGCCTAAAGGAATTGGCACTGGAAGGGTTCTAGGTTAATCGGTAGTAGGTTAAAGTGGAGAACGGTCAAATCGGAAACACGCCTCAAGAGTTAGAGAAACTTACCTTATTGTCAACCAAACGTAACGAGAAGCATTGTGGGCTCGCGGATAGCCCACGACAAAATATAACCAACAAAGAGCCAAAGTTAGACTGGAAGGAAAATAATCAGCAGAAACCCGCGTTGCAAGATGGTTATATTGACAAGTGGGAGAGCCGGTCAAGCTTAATCATGCCTCAGGAGTCAATGCCTTATTTTAGCCCGAGAAAAGCATTGATAACGTGATGCGAAGTTATGGGATTAGAGACAGACTCGCCGTAGAAAAATTCCTTCCGTTGTAATTCTTTTTTCAGCATATTAACTGATTCATCTTTTGAATAATATATCAGAATGAGGCATTTGGCCCAACTTACTTGATCGTTCACCTAGCATTCTTTGTGGTTATTAATATTTTTTTTTAATCCCTTATAAGAAATCAAAAAAATTCAGAGTGCTTGACGACTATTGATTATAAATAAATATTTGAAAGAGAAAAGTTACATGGTACATTTCAAATTTTCAAGATCCGGAATAAAGAATTTACTTTGATTTCGTTATCGCGTACAATGCAAATACTGTGTCATCAAATTAGACGAGTTTTCGAAAAACTATAATAAATAATATTGTATACTATATTTATTTGCCGGTATTTTTATGGTTCGTACAAAATAAGAAAGAATACATATGTTTCTTGTCACAAGTTTCGAATTCTCATCACTACAAATAATCTTTATAAGTAGCTATAATTTGAGCCTTTGAAATAACCTCCTTTACCTTATCATCTTCACTTATGAAAATTGCTGGAAAGCTGCAAATCTCAACCTTTTGTTTCGTTAAATCCCTAAATCCCTTTAAACTCTGCATGAACGAGGGATCCACACTATCTCCGTTATCATAAAATTTCCATTCGATCATTTTAGGTTGAGCCTTGAATCTAAAATAAAATAATTGAATAATATCACGAACAAGTTGGACAATATCTCTTTCATCATCATTTTTTAATTCATCATCAAGAATTTTTCGGTGGTGATTCAACTTCTCCACGATAATTTTTGAAATTTTCGTGATTAGCTGATTAGAATCATTCGAAAAGGCACGAGAACCAAGAATAGCATTAATCTGTTGACAAATTTTTGTAGATGCAACGGACGCCATAAGGTCTTTTCCTGGGCGCAGTCTATCAAAACTTTCAGTCGCAGCAGCCAACCTTTTGGAAGTTATAATTAACTCTACTTCAATGGTGTCTTCCACGCTACAATCGGACGGAGGATTATTCAGTCGTTGTTCGACCTCACGGAAATAACCATCTGTCTCCTCGAAAATCGTCTCAATGATCAACCGTTGAATAGCTCCAGACAATACCAATCTTTCTTCAGTCGTTGCCGAACATTTATAATAACGTAAAAGTTCTGCACATTTTTCTTGGTTAATTTCGTAGTCAGAACCTTTGACCATGGTTAAATCTGCGAGGGAATACTGCAGTGTTCGAATACTTCTTGCTATTTGTACTGCATTGTTGGGATCTTCGTCATTCAAATTTACGCTTGTTAAGCTTCCCAATGCCGCTTGATATTGAGAACTTTCTTTTTGCAAGTCGATAACTTGAGATTTCAAACTCTCTATCTCTTCAAGTAATTCATCCGATACCTTGTTTTTCTTCTGCCTATTTATTAGGCGAGCCATTCTTCCAAAAATAATGTCTCGCAACTTTATATTATCTTCCGACCATAGATTTTCTAATTGTTTCTGAAAATTTTCTTGATCATTTAACCCGTAAGATTCTATTTTACTCCAGGAAAATTTCACCAACTGATTCCTTTTGTCCCATTCTTTTGAGATCCTATGACGCTTATAATCATAAAGAAACAAAGTGATGGTTTCTTTTTCATCGAAACTTATAACTTTCCTCTTACATAACTTCACGACTAAATAGCCCATCCTCTCTATTTGATCACCAAAAATCCGAGTTTTGTATGGAGATAATGGCGTGGAATCCCACAATATTATGAATAAGTAGACATAAACTTCGCAGGAATTTTGGGAAATCAAAAGATCCCAATCTTCATTTTTGAAATTTTCCAATTGACGCATAGTATCATTGGTATTTGAAGAGTGACTAACCGACACGACATCATTCATCTTTTGCTACAAAAGAATTGCCAGGAAGCTTACGTGAAAGAAGAGGAATTTTCAAATATTTAGAAAACTTGCTAAAACTTTGGTCTTGTTTCACAGATTATTCTCATGACCTCTTTTGATCTTTTTTTATGTCACATTAATTACGTCTAATTAGTACATTTACAGTATGTCACATTGGGTGTTATCGCAGTTATTAAAGTATAAATAGACTAATGGGCAAAAAATAATCAAACACCTGCACATCGTTCGTCATAAAAAATGGCACTTCAAGATGTTCGTGTGGTAGTGGCAATTGATTTTGGTACAACTAACTC